GGCCTCAGGCCTCACTCCCAGCCTCGCGCCCCATGGTGGCTCCTCGCGGTGCCCCCGGGCCTCCGTGCCAGCCTTAACCCCCAGGCCCGCTCCGTCCCCGTCTCTCCAGCCTAAAGCTCCCGCTTTTTGTAAACTGCCCTTTTTTTAACTAAAAGCAGTGCCTCAGCCTCACTAGTTGAGCTCCAGGGAGCGTGCCCGGCAGGCCTGGACCATCACTCGGAGCCACCCTGGGCATCCTGGGCCGTCCCACAAGTGTCTAAAAACCCCGTTTTTCCCCTTTTCCCTCCTCCCCAGATGAAGTGATCCGCAAGCGTCTTCTCATCGACGGCGATGGAGCAGGGGATGACAGGAGGATCAACCTGCTGGTGAAGAGCTTCATTAAGTGGTGCAACTCTGGATCTCAAGAAGAAGGGTATTTCTGTTCTCAGTCTTGGGGAATTACAGTTGATTTGCATTTAAATGGAAATTTAGATGAACTTGGATTTATTTCAAAGAGAAAAAAAAGACACTTAAGTTAAAACATATACCTCTGCCTTTCAATATGGCTCTGTGGCATTGCCAGTGCAAACACTGCACTATGGTAGTAAATGAGGACTAAAAAGGGTTTAGAAGTTACTTAATAAGCTCTATCTTGCAATCTGGCAGTGCTGCAAATGCCCTCAAGATTGGCATGCCACTTCCTCATCCAGCTCCAAGAGTCCCGTTATTCTAACAGGATCATAACTTGAATGTTTTAGTTGGCAGTTCTGCATTTGTTCTGTTAGATAAGGACAGTGGTATTGGTCTTGGTGCAATTACTTTATTTTTATAAAGAGACCAAAGCTGTAAAAAATGACCAACAATGTAGTATTTTATTGTGGGGATCTCTACAACAGTTGGATATAAATTCCAGGAAGATGCTTGTATATGCAGAGAAGTGCTAGAGTATTAAAGTACTAATCTAGATGGACAGAGAGCCTGTCCTAGTTGGGAAGTTTATAAAGCAACAAGCAAATTGATCCAGGGATTAATATTCACTTCGCACCTTTAAGGGCATGATGATAGAATTTGTTTGTGCAGTGTTTCTGTGTTTTCAAAAATTGTACATTGAATCTTTGGAATGCTTTTTTTCCTTAATAATTATTATTATTTAACTATTACTTAAATTACTCATGTAGACCGTATAAAGGTAGGTGACTTATGCTGCTTAGGAATAACTATCTTGTCTTCTTTCAGTTATAGCCAGTATCAACGAATGCTGAGTACTTTATCACAGTGTGAATTTTCAATGGGAAAAACTCTTCTCGTGTATGATATGAACCTGAGAGAAATGGAGAATTATGAAAAAATCTACAAAGATATAGGTAAAGAGGAAAAATATTACTCTTGGATTATTATTTGAATATGAGGAAGCTTGAGCCAGGGCTGTAGAACCTAGTAATGCGTATGATAAATGATTTTATTTTAATTATAGCACTGATACAAAAGCTGCAAAGCATCTTGTCAGTGTCTAAAACACATGCAAATAAAGTTTTCAGTTTTTTTTAAGTACTAAATGCATGCCGTTTTGAAGCTGATGGAGCTATGAAGCTGCCATGTCACAAATGGCTCTCTATCTTTTTATATTGCAGCAGATGGATTTGTTGACATGTATTGTTTGATTTTGATACAGTTCTGTATATCTTTTTGTTAAAGAAAATAGTATAGCTGCAGCGCACGAGAAGATTTCTGAATGCAAAAAGCAAATCTTGCAAGCAAAAAGGATTCGAAAAAATCGCCAGGGTAAGGAGCATAATCTGTGTTTTCACCGAGCTGTTTATTTTGTTACCTTTTAAAATATACTGTATTAGGACAGTTTTCCGGATGGTTTTCAAATCTTACAGTTCACAAATGAAAGTACTGGTACCCAATTACAGAGTGTAAATGTGGTAGCCCTGCAGCCTTCCTCCAAGAAACCTTACAAGATAAGGCAAATACCTAATTGTTATTTTAAAGGCACCTAACTCTCAAGTATACTGTCTTTGTTTAAAACTGCTGAAATAGATCTCAGTGACATATGACATCGGGGAAATCTAAGTGGTAGTAGTTCGTGGAGATGTTTTCAGGCAAAGCAAAAACCAACAAGCCTTGTGTGATAATTCAGGTGACTAGAACTAAAGCACACTGGAACATCAAGACAGAAAAATGAAACAGGGTTACTCCCAGCACTGAGAATCATGCAAGTACCTTCCTTCAGCTTCTAATGGAAGGTGAAGTCTTGTCATACACATATACAAAGATGGTCATGTCATTTAGACACCCATCAACTCCATGTATATCCTTACAAAATACCTCTAAACCAGCTACGAAAGGCATATTTAAGAGACAGGAGTCTCTTAAAATTATGTGTTGGAAATTTTAATTGAAGTATTTTGTTTGTAATACCATCTTATCAAAAGACTGTTAGATAAATAAATGTTTCTTGAACATTTTTTTTTTTGGCTCAACTGGAGATGGAAAGAATCTTAGAAGGAAGGGGGAATACTTAACTCTTCATAGATGTAGACCTGAACTTTTTGCTTGTGATACATTATGACCATTTTGCTTCTAAAATTTTTCCATCTGGGTGAAGTGCTTGGCACACAGGCAGTCCTGCAGTCAGGAAATGGCCACATTAGTTGCCTGGATAACCATGATATGCTGCTTTACATGTAGCACAGTTAAAAAACCATGCTGTTTCTCATACAAGATTTTATATTTTTCTCTAAAAATCTTAAGTGTGTAAAGCATCTTATCAGCACATATACATTAGATTATATCTAAAACCAGTGCTTACGAATCATGCACAAAAAAGTGGGTAGCATTTAAGATGTATCCAAGAGTCATGTTTTGTGGCTCTGTACCTTACAAAGTACTATTGAGTAGGTTATGACAAAAAGCCAATTCTTATCAGAATTTCCCTTTTAAAGCTGTTTGATCTGAACATCTACATTGAGACTGAACACCTACTTTTAAATCTAAATATTATAGTATGTTATAAATTACATGTTCCTTTTTATATGTTCCCATTTATTAACATGCAAGCTCGAAAACATTAAACAGTTTTTCCAGCAGTGATTAAGAATTGAAACTGCTGTATAATATATGATTTTTGATTGCTGAGTCTACGCTCTCAGAATTATTTAGATTTAACAATATTAAAAATATGTTTATTTTTCCTTTCAGAATACGATGCATTGGCCAAAGTCATACAGCATCATCCCGATAGGCATGAAACACTGAAGTAAGTATGAGATTGCATTAAATTATAGTAAGTCAGATGTCACCAGATTTGACATTTTCTTAGTTTCCATTTAATATTTTCTCACTTCTAATTTTTTTTTAAACATAAGAAAAAAATGGGTGTCAGTCATTTTAAAACTGTTATCAGCTATGTTTTAATTAATCTCAATCTGTTTGGGTGGGGGCAGAAGCATTGCTAATAACTTTGCATTTTAAAAATTTTTGTTAAGGTGAATATGTAAAACTCGGACGTAAACTGCTTGTCTATATCAGTTTACCAGTGACAAGTTGATTAAAAAGAGATATAGTAGGAAAATGCTGTAAAGTACACATTGAGGGATTCAATAGTCACAGAAGATACATAACACCAGCAAGTAAAATGGAATGTGAGGAGGCAGGAGAAAGCTCTTAGGTTTGTTTTATGTTTTTCCTTGTAGTTGCTCTTCCTGCATGCCTGGTTATAAATTACTAGCTTGTATACCACAATCTAGCCTGCCCTGGCATGCAGGTTAGACCTACCTGTGGTCCAACTTGTCCTGCATGTAACTTACAGTATTGCTTGTGTCCTCATTGGGTTTGTGTTGATATCTATGCTTTTGGGTCGTTTTGGACAGTTCAGGGTAGATAATATTTTTGAATCTTACCAAACCACAGAAATACACCAGGATTCATTGCATCTATGATTTTTTCTTCTTCTTAACCTGATTAAGATGTAGCATGGGATTTGTGTTCTCATTTAAATGCAGCTTGTGTCTGTCCTGTTGCTCCGTGTCAGTGAAACTGCAGAGGGAAGCTGTATTTTCATATTCCATGGTCTTTTGTAGTCAATACCACAACTTTGATTATTAGTCAGTTCTTGAGCAACTTGATTACTTCCAACTTTTACTAGTTAGCATGTGCTATTTATCAAATAAAAATTCATGATAAATAATTACCAGGAATCGTCAGTTAATTAAGTTTGGAAACAAGTAAATAATAATGCACTTTTGAGAAGAAGTGAGGTAGTATGCTTTGATTTCTTAGATTTTCTGTTTTAATTTTGCATAACACTTCTAAGCATAAGTATCCTAATCAAAGCTAGAAATAGCAACGCAAGATACCTGGTAAATTTGGCATTTTGTCCTTCCATATACTTCATTTTCTGCTCTCCTTAGAGGAATGCAGTTAGGAACACCATTTTAATGTGCTATAAGTATGTCTACAAATTTTTTTTTTTTTTTTTAAGACAAAGTCCTTCATATCCTCAATCAGAGGAACAGATTTAAATTTTAGCAGAATATGATGCTCTATTTTACAGATACAGAAACAAGATATAGTAAGAGTGGCAAAAAAAATATGGGAAGTTTGATTCTTAATTCTTTCATATTTAAGTGACCTCTCCAAGTGAATATATTTTAAACATAGGTACTAGATGAAGTTTTCTTCCAGAGCTTTTACCTATAAGCTCTCCCTGCTCCTCAGTTTGAGGGGAGTGTACAGAATGTCAGCTATTGTAAATCAAGAAAGACCACCCTTAAATTAGGATGGAGCAGGCCTCAGGAACAACATCACATTATTCATGGAACTGTTGATCACTAAAAGCACCAGAGAAAACTTCTTGTCAGAAGAAATGTCACGGTTTATTGCAAGAATTGCATTTATAGTTTTGCAGGTCATTTGGCACAATTGAGAGTTATAGTTTTGCAGGTCATTTGGCACAAGAGGATAAAATTCAGAGAAATGCTTCTTTTACGCTTCTAAGGGGCTGCTTCTTGGAACAACCAGTCCTGGAGCACAAAAGAAGGGAAACTCTTATCAACTTAGTCACAAGTAAGGCACAGGAGCCAATTCAGGAGGAGACAGGAGCTGAACCACTAAGCAGCAGAGCCCACAATGTAATTAACTGCAGCGTGAGAAGAGCAGTTAGAACTCCACAAAATGGCAGCAAATCTTAGAAAAGGAGATAGGAAGATGAGAAGGCTAGGCGAAGATTCTCTGAATAAAACTCTAGATGTAGCTTGGATGCTACTGGGAAAAAAATAAACACTAAAATGGAGCTTTTTCACAACCATCCACACAGGGCTGGGAGACTTTCTCCATTTCCCTGCCCAGGCTGCAAAGCTCTCTGCTTCGAAACGAGCCCTTCATTCCCATGCTGACCCCTGTGAGACTCTGCCTGATAATTAATCAGGGATAGTCAGTCTCAATCTACCTAACCTTTAAAGGAACAGATTGTTCTCATTACAGGGAGCGTAATTTATAGTAGGCATTAGAGAAAAACTAGCAGGGCCCAATTGGAGGTAGGAACACATCTCTGCAGGAGCTGATGTTCTAGCCTCCTATGAAAGCTGTGACAGTACCTGTTACTTCTTGCCTTATTTCAAAAAGGATTGTGCTGATCCGAGATGGACCTGAGTAAGAACAGATCAAAAATAAATGTTCTCGAGGCGATATTAAACATTGTGTGCTCAGACATTAGCTGTATCATGTAGTTTCATCCAAAATGTGGAGTATTCCACATGTGCCTACTATAAAGCATGTGTATCATCACTACTGTGTCTGGTCTTGCCCTTTTTAGAAGTAAGATGCTGCCATGTATTTGATCAAGTCTGGCGGTTATGTTTGTATGGTGGATACATAGGTTTATCGGGTATGTTTTTTCATGCTAATGCTTTTTTTTTTTTAATAATCTATATCATTATAAAAAAGTCTATTAAAAAGTGAAGCTTGCAGAACTATTCTTAATGTGACCACTTCTTTCATTTTCATTGTATGAAAAAGTAAAAGACCTTGTGCATGTGCCAAGATTGAATTGTTATGGGCCAAATGCCCACTCTACAATTGCCTTCCAGCTTGTCAGCCTTGGTTTCTGTGAGTCCTGAAATGATAAATTTATGATATAATAGTTTAACCTTTTATGTAAAGCAGCTTTACATAAATGTTATTTTCATTTATTATGCTTTATATAGCTTTTCACAGTTGTTACTTATACTATTTAATAGCTCCTTTTTCCTCAATTTTGTTAAAATTTATTTTTCAGAAACTTCACAGAAATTTAA